CGCGCCGCGATGGAGCTGGGGGCCCGGGCCGCCGGGCGGGGGCGGGGGCTGCTGCGCACGCCCGTGCAGCGCTGCTGAATCCGCTGCTCCGAGGAGCCGCCGCGGGGAAGGCAGAGGCAGAGGCAGGCCGGCAGCCCATGCCCCGCCGCCTGCCCGGGGGGCTCTGGTGCAGCCCCTGCTGCCCCCAGCCATGAGCCCTTCTGTTTTCCCTTGGTAAAGATGGCGGTGGGCGATCGCTGCAACCTTTAGACTCATGACTGTCAGAAACATCGCCTCCATCTGTAATATGGTGAGTACCCGCGGGGCGGGGGGGCGGCCGGCCGAGGGGTTCCCACTCCGCCCCCAATGCCCCCCGGGTGGGGGAGGGGTTGCCTCTCGCTGCCCCCTGCCCCTGGCGCCAGGACCTCCAAGAAAGGGAGGCCGGAGTCAGGATCCTAAATCCCTGGGCAGGCTCCTAGAATAAGCAGCTTCATTTCCCAAACAGCCGCCCCCAGCGCCACAGTCACCCACACTCACATGTTTTGCCAAATCCAGGTGCTTCTTTAAGTACCTCATTATGGACTTAGGCACTGACTTTAAAATCTCAGCTGTGGGTCCAGGTCCTCCTGCTTATTCTACCCCCTGTAAGGCATTTCCACCCCGCACCCAGCTGGGATTTCAGTGGATGCAAATGGTCATCGCTTTCAGCCCCATATGATCCTTGTAGTGCATTTTGAAACACATCATCTTTCCCATGGTCTTCTAAAAGATCCAAAAAGTGCATTTAAACAGGACCATTTTGTCTCCGTCCTGTTGGGTCCTTGCCCCCCGCAGCCCCACTGCTTGAGGACAGGGAGGCTTCTGCAGTGTACATTCAAGTATACTTTTCATTTTGACTCTGTGACTGTCAAAGGCTGGTTTATTAGGCCACGTTGCCTGTGGATTTTTAAGATGTTTTGTTATCTGGGGGCTCTAAGACTTTCTGGCAAGCAATTTATTCAGTAATTCTAGAATGAAAGCAGTCAAGAAAATAAATCCATGTCAGGAGGAAGTGTTAAATGTCCAAAACAAATAGGGCAAGTGCACATTCCAGCACTTTGTTGTTTTAGTTTATACTTTTCCCCCTTGTTTTCAGGTTCTTCAAGAGCAGTTACTTGCAGTCGCCAGCTTCCCTCCATGTGGTGCCCCAGCATACCCTTTGCTGGTGATGTCACACCCACCATTCATCAGCACTGGAGAATGGAGCCTACCTATAGGGTAAGGCAGTGGTTCTCAACCTCTGAGTTGTGACCTCCATGGGGGCCACCAGCAGTTGTTCAAGGGGGATGAGGGTTGTGAGCCTGCTCTCATTCTGGGTCCAGTCTTCCACTGAAGTGGGTTTGCTTGCAACCAGTCATTCTTGGATGCCAGGAACACCCCACCCACAGTTCTACCAGGTCCTCACTACCTCCTTTGAAGTACCTGTGCTGAGGTGCATTACTGGAGGACTGGACTTGGATCATATTATGAAAAAGGTTGAGAATCCCTGGGGTAAGATAATCTGGGTTCTTACCTTTCCTCTCCAATATTATGTGATTTTTCTAAAGTTTTAATTGCACTTATTTTTTTTAACCATGTGGGACAGGAGGCAAGCATATTGCAAAGAAATATTTAGGAAACCATGTGGTATTGGGGGGGAAAAACCTGGATTTACTTACTTTACCCTATAGGCAGGGTTCAGTTTATATTGTTGATGAATGGTGGATGTGATCACCATAAAAATGCATAACAAAGCATCACATGAAGGGAAGCTGGAGATTGATAGCTGGTTACAAAAATTCAACATTGGCATGCAGCCTTAAGAAACCTCTGTTTTCATAACGTGTGCCCAGATTTTTCCATATAGACAAGCTTTTGCATAATATTTCTCCCTCGGGGTCTAGGAGGGCATCACACAAAACTGAACTAGGCCTGCATTAATTCAGGCCTGCTCCTATTACTATCAATAGACACCTGCAAAAGCAGCATTGTAATATAATGGAGGGATTAAAGAGGGCAATGAAGCAGTCAAACAGAAAAGGGGGCACAAGAACAGAACAGAAGGAGTGAGAACAACTCATACTTCAGAACCAAGTTTGGTTCCTTACTCTCTTCCTGGTGTCCTGGGTGACAAGAATGTGGAAGGAGCAGACTCAGCCTTTGAGGAAAGGATGCATTTGTATTCAGCATGGGTAACACAAAGTGTAAAAATACCACAATTCAGATATCTACATGTCATAAGCTTAATGTAAAAATAATGTTTTTAAAAGGAAATGTATGTTGGCATTGTTGTATTCTGCTTTTTGCATCTTTGGGTGATTCTAGTTCTGTTTACAAGTTTTTACCACCATAGCCACAGAGGTTAGAACCTCTTTTGGAAAAAAAAAAAGCTGAGATTCTTGCAGCATTCCAGGAAGCAAAGAGAATTTAAGAAAGACATAAAATACTATAAGAGTTGGTGACAATGTAGTTACTGGACCTCTGAAAATGAGCTCAGCTGCTTGAAGGAGCTATATCAGTGGACCCTAGAGGAACCTAGGTCATCCCTAAATAAGATGACTTCTGTGGTCTGTTGCAGGGGGAGCCAACAGATCTAAAAGACTCCCAAAAAGAAGAAAACAAAATAGTAAGATGGGGAAAGAGTAATACAAATAAGGATGTCATTAGCAGAGACGCTACCAGTACAAAGGAGAAAGCATTAGTGCCATTGTTCAAGGGACTGGTAAGATCTCATCTAGAATAATTTGTACAATTCTGGTCACCCATGTTCAAGAAGGAGGAATTCAGACTGCAACAGGTGCAGAGAAGGGCTACTATGTTGATCACTGGAATGGAGAACCTATTTAGTGAGAGGAAACTAAAAGATCTTTGCTTGCTTAGCCTTGTAAGACAAAGGCTGTGTGTGGATACAACTATGTGCTACACTCACTAGCACCACAACTGAAAGAGACTTGGGGATCATGACTGACCCCAAGATGAACATGAGCCACCAATGCAATGCCATAGCTGGCAAAGCAAACAAAACTCTGGCTTGCATCTACCAGTGCATCTCGAGCAAGACTTAGGAAGTCATCCTCCCACTTTACTTGACCTTCATGAGGCTACAGCTGGAGAACTGCATCCATTTCTGGGTTCTGCACTTTAGAAAGGATGTGGAGAAGCTTGAGAGAGTCCAGAGGAGAGCCATGCACATGATTAGAGAAGAGGGTAGGCCTTATGAGAAGAGGCTGAGAGGCATGGGACTTTTCAGCCTGGAGGAGTGAAGGCTTAGGTGTGACTTGGTAGTAGCCTATAAGCAGGTCCGGCCTGTCCTACCCTGTGGAACCTGTGGCGTCAGGGGGCCCCACAGCCAAGTGACCCCCTGTGGCCATGAACACTCCAAATCGGTGCTGTAGCAGGGGAGGTAGGCGGTTGCCACCACTCCACATTGCCACAACCACTGGCTTCACATCTGCCTGCTCCTCCCTACCCTGTCTGCTGCTGGCTTCTTCACATTGGGGTCCCAAAACTATATCTTGCAGGGGGCCCCAAAAATTGTGGGCTGGCCCTCCCTATAAGTATATAAGGGGTATGCATCAGGAACTGGGAGAAAATCTGTTCACCAGGGCACATCAAGGGAAGGCAAGGTCTAATGCTCACAAACTGCTAGAAGACCGTTTTAGGCTGGACGTAAGGAAAAACTTCTTTACCATCCAAGTCCCCAGAGCCTGGAATAGACTCCCCCCAGAAGTGGTGCAAGGACCTGCTCTGGACACTTTTAAGAAATGTTTGGATGATTATTGTGCTGGGATCATTTGACTCCAGCTGACTTCCTGCCCCTTGGGCAGGGGGCTGGACCCGATGATCACACAAGGTCCCTTCCAGCGTAATGTGTATAAAATCTATTTTCTATAAATACACAGGGGAAATAAACAAGGAGGGAGAAGAGCTCGTTCAGCTATAGGACAATGTTGGCAGCACAAATGGGTTTATTCTGGCCATGAATAAAGTTAGGCTGCAAATTAGAAGGTTCACAACCATTAGAACAAGTAGGTTATGGAACAACCTTCTTATTGATGCAAGGGGGAAGGAAAATACCAACTGCTTTTAAGACTGGGCTTAATACATTTGTAGTCACCTACCCTGGAAATCTTCGAGAGGAGACTGGATGGTCACCTTGCTGGGGTCACCCAACTCCAGTTGTCTTTCCTTCCTAGTTGAGTGGGGCTGGACCAATGATCTTGCCAAGGTCCCTTCTAGCCCCTCACAATCTATTAATATATGAAAGGGATTGTGTGACAGGGTTGCCTGGGATAGCAAAGGACTGTACTTGATGACCAGCAGGTTTCTTTCAGGTCTTATTTCTTTGTTGCTATGTATAGTGAATGAAGAAACAAGAAAGGCAAGAAATGAATGCATTAAAACAAAAGGCATTAAAAATGGAATTGCTGCATTGTGGAGGAAGACAAGGAAGTCTGGCACTACTAGTTTGATTTAGGACATCCCTAAAGATCTGCTAGTATGACTTACAGCCAGAATTATTTTTTCCTAGGTCATGATCCCAGACCATAACTCAGTGCTTGAAAGGCTTGACGGAAGTCTTTGGTCTAAGACAATGGTGCTCAGCCTTCTATGTCTGCAGGCCAAATGAATGGCGTGAGCCAGTCCACAAACTGGATCTGGCTGCCTGCCAGCCCAACCCCATGTGCTGTATACGGCCAAGTGTCAGATCAGGCCACGTGCTGGTCCAGCCCTACATGCCAGATCTGGCCGTGCACGGGCCCAACCTCTCAAAATGAATTTAGCTATGAGCCCACTTAACCACACATGCTGCATCTGGCTGTATGCTAGTCCAGCTCCACACACTGTATCACCTGGAGAGTGATCCCACTGTGGACTGGTGTGATGTAGCAGGCAGGGCCAAGTTGTTCAACCTGCAGGGCTTCCCACAGGTCTAGAAATTTGGCAGCAGGGGAGCAGCAATTAATGCTACCACTATCCCTACACTGCCAAATTTCCAGACCCATGGGAGCCCCACAGGCCAGAGGCTGAGTACCACTGGTCTAAGAATTAACTAACTAAAGTATCTTGGCATTGATTTTCTATTTAAAAGAAACCTAAAATATCTGCCCTCCTCTCCTTCCTATCCTTCTCATTTCTCCTTTCATCTAAGATATGAAGGCATGCATCTATCTCCCAAGCACTAGCAGACACAAAATATCACCTTGCTTATTTTTATATTTATATCACCTGAAATGAAAAAAGTACTAGTTCTTCAAAAGCAGGCATTGCTTGTCACAATGCTTACATATTTTGGATGGTAGTCTTTTATTAATTACAGATATTTTTCTTTGGTAGATACTGTGTTCTGAAAAAAGCAAATAAGATGAGGATTAGCAGGGTGAAACTGGCTGGATCTAACAGGGTTAGTCAAGCAAAGAATGCCTGTTGTTTAATTGACTGTCTGAGGATCTAGTATCTCAAATTGTAATTCTGCTCTCCTGATGCAAGGGTAAGGCTGTGACCTCTTCGAGAGGAGGCCAGAACAGGAAACAATGATGTGAGGGAAAATACTTTACATTTGTTTGAAAAATACAGTACCAGTCCAGTACATTTAATAGGCAAAAGAGAATAACTGAGGAGTAGCTGCCTTCCTATTAAAATGCAAACCCACAACTTCCAGACCAAAAAAGGACCTTTGTTTTCCTGGTTCCCAGTTCTCTCCACACAATTACAAAAAATTATTATGGGAAGGTGTAGTGCAAGACCCTTCTACTATACCTGGTTTTGTATAGTTTAATGTCCTAGTGGAATACCTGTGAAATAACCTTAGAGTACATGTAGGATGAGGATCCAAGCCTGTCTTAAAAGTTTTACAGTTACTGAGATTTCATAAATAGATGTCTGCATAGGTTTTTGACCCATGTCAGGTGGTATAAATCAGTAATTAAAACGTTTTTCTAGATGATACTCAGTCCTGAAAGGTGCCCTTAGGAGGAAGCCCAGGCAAAATTAGGGACTTTCAGCATTTGATCTTATTCATATTTTATCAGTATTAAATACACATTGCGATCTTCATTGGGAAGTAAGACTGCTAGAATGAAATGGTAACTTACTGAAATTCTTGGCAGTTTATTTCTTTGATGATCTTCTGATTTAGGCTAGGGCTTGGAGCTAAATGCATGTTGCAGTTTGAGCGTAAAGAATATTACTGTTGAGTGTATGAACACTTTCTGATCTTTTTAAAAATTATTTTATAT